CGGTCTGAACTTGGGGGCCCGGTCACGAGATCGAGGAGCCGTGCACAGAGGGTTCAAACCCCCTATTAGTAACTCTCATTTTTTAGCACCCTCACCCTGACGAAGCCTGGAGGTCCAGGCGAAAGCTCGGTTTATTAGTATTTAAATATATTAAATTATTCATATATTTTATCCTCCTGGTGTTCTCACCTTTTTTGGCTTACCTTTTAACTATGAATATACCCAGGAGACACCTCTTTATTTTTAACATTCTTCATGAATATATATATATATATATATATATATATATATATATATATATATATATATATATATATATATATATATATATATATATATATATATATATATATATATCAAAAGAAAATAAATAGAAGAGCAAAAGTCCTTATCTAGTGCAAGAATGGCTATTACATATTTTCAGAGAACATTTTTACTGTTCATATATTAAACTTATTTCTTACTCAGAAAAATCAAATAAAATGAAATGTTTAAACAGTACCTGTTATAGTTCTGATATCATTATTATGAAGATATAATTCTGTCAAGCAACAGTTATTTTTCACGAATGTTACATACTGAATCTAACAAAAAATTAGAATAGCATTATTATTTTATTGGTATAGCAGTTGTCACTTTTACAATGGCTTTGTTGATTTTTTTTTAAAATTCCTTAATAACATATAGGGTATTTTGGGAAATTTATTCTAATGAGTCTGCTGAATTAAAAGAGATTAGAGATGTACACAATTATATTTCTGGAACTTGACTCTTTTGGAGAAATCCAGAAGATTTCATTTGTCCTTTCTGTCGCTATTCTTTCAGAGTCTGGACATTTTCCAAAAGGTAATCTGCAAACCTGGAAGCATTTTGTGATATGCCAGATAATTGCTGTGATATCCCAGAAAATATCCCATTGAATTTATATACAGCTAGATTCTATGGAATATTGTAGTTTTATGAAGACTCTTAAACATGCATATTTATTTAGCTTAGTATGATAATTTAATAGTCCACTATCCATACAGTTATGTTTCAGGGAAGTCACTGTAGCTTTTATAATTTTCATTATAATTCTGAAATTTTGGCTTATTTGTAAATACAGCCAATATACTCCCCTTGAAAGAATAATCAATCAGAGATAAGAAATAATTGCAGTTATAAAAATTCCTGTATTTAATACCTTATTATGGTTTAGCCACAAATTTCTCAATTTCCGGAACCGTGATAAATGAGGAACATCTTTTAATCCACTGAAAGAGAAATTAATAACTTTATTAGGAAGTGACTAGTGAAATAGTATACTATAGTAACATAATACTCATGACTGAATATTATTAAACATACAGAAATATTCTTACTCATTCATATTACAATAATTGGGACTAGAATTTCCATTGGTGGTGCAGTCATAAAGCACAATATTATGTGATTGTGCCATTTAACGACAGCACTTCGAACAGTCCTAAGTTACATAACTACAACTTCTTGCTGGCATACCTCTTAACTTTGCTTGTGGGAAGCCAGCAGGGTAGATCACAAATGTGACCATGTGATTGCAGGAGTTCTGCAGCAGTCAGAACTTCAAGGACTGGTTGTAAGTACTGGTCATTCAACTCCATCAAGCATTTGAATGATTGCTGATTGAATGGTTGTTAACTAAGGACCACCTGTATTAACAACTACAGATAGTAGATACGCTGCAAAGGATACAGAGAAGACACTAGAAAATTCATCACTAGCATGATTTGGATTCGCATCAGCTTTTCCATATCCATCTTGAATCCCTTTAATTTATTTTAATGGAAACAAAAAACATGACTTCAGATTTACTTTTTTAAAATGAAACTGAAACAAAAAACTTCACCATATGCAGTTTCAAATATTACTTCTATTTTGTCATAATCTAAAACAACTCTGTGGTAGAAAAAGAAAAACTTTGTCAAGTCGACATAGTATCTAGAATATATGATAACAAATATCTCTTTCATACATTGATGTCACAATGCCCCTAAATAATAATGTATTTTCTTTATTTTTGCTTTCATGAGTCCAGCTATAGGTTGGAGCATTGTAAGATTAGCCAATTATGGTTTAGCCTACAGATTATGATTTTGCAAGATAAGCTTAAAGCTTAACATTACTGTGAGACTTTGTCCATAAAAATGACAAATATGCTTAATGGGCTACATTTACTTCATTCACTTCAATTATGATGAAGTGTTTTGAGAGATTGGTAAAGGACTACATGGTTTCATGCCTTCCCCCTACATTTGACTCATTACAGTTTACCTATCAGAAGAACCACTCCTGTAGAAGATGTACTTTCCTGTGTGCTTCATCTTAGCTTGGCACATCCAGAGGGGAAGAATACTCATGTGTGAATGCTGTTTGTGGATTTTAGTTGAACATTCAACACAAGCATCCCTTAGCATCTGGTGAACAAACTGGTCCTATTAGGTTTTAATACTCCTTTATGTAATTGGATACTTGATTTCCTTATTGATAGGCCTCATGTTGTGCGAGTTAGAAAGAAAGTTTCCAATTCCATCTCTTTGAGTACGGTTTCCCCACAGGGCTGTGTCCTGAGTCCGCTACTGTTCACCCTGATGACTCACGACTGCTGTGTCAAATCTGCTACGAATCATATTGTGAAGTATGCAGACGACACGGCAGTGGTGGGTTTATCCGGGATGACAATGAAGATGCTTATAGGGAAGAGGTGAAGGATCTGGTGGACTGGTGCAATAAAATTGATTCTAAATATTGGTTCTAAATATTGATAAAACAAAGGAGATCACTGTAGAATTTAGAAAGAGACGGCATAGTCATACTCCACTCAGTATCAAGGATGCAGCTGTAGAGGTGATCAACAGTATTAAGTATCTGGGGGTGTAGATAACTAACAATCTGAATTGGTCATTCATCATCCCAAGCGTGCAAACCAGCGTCTGCATTTCCTGCGTCAAATGAGGAGACATCTTTCTCCTTCTGTCCTTACAGAGGCACGATTGAAAGCATTTTAACAAACTGCATCACTGTCTGGTTTGGTGGCAGCTGTGCCTTAGATAGAAAGTCCATACAGAGAATGGTAAGGACAGCCGGGAAGATCATAGGAAGCTCGCTTCCTGGTATTCATGATGCGGCTTATAAGTGCTATGTTCTTAGAGCTCAAAGCATTAAGAGACCCTACATACCCACTTTACGGTCTGTATCTGTTGTTCCTGTCTGGGAGAAGGTTTCAAAGTATTTCTAGCAGAACTACCCAATTCTGTAATAGCTTTGTTCCCTATGCCATCCGTATGGTAAACTCACAAGATTCGTTTTTCTTGCTATGCACCTGTATATATCACCCGAACTAGACTGTTGTTTCTGTGTCATATAATATATGTGGATATATGCATAATTCTTTCTTTCTTTCTTTCTTTCTTTCTTTCTTTCTTTCTTTCTTTCTTTCTTTCTTTCTTATGTCATATTTATGTAGTATATATTGGAGGTGGGAACCCTTTGAGAGCTGTATGCAATGAAATTTTATTTTAATGTATACTGATTAGTGTGCATTCAAATTGACAATAAAATTATTATTCTATTATTCTATGCTTAATTCTTCTCAACAAACCAATCTAAAAGAGACAATTTTTATACTGCATTTTGGTTCTAAGATACCTAATTTTGTATTGATAATACCGCTTTCTTTTAAATATTTCATGCTGTCTTTTTATTTACAGAATACGAAATTACACAAGCATACAAATATTTCTTCTTTTTATTTGTTTTCTAAAATCATGAATTTACTTCTAAATGTTTTCATTTATCTTCCAACCTGTTCTTATTCCTTAGATAATCTGGTTGCAAATCTCAAACTACTTACTCGAGACATTTCACTGAAATCATTGGCAAAAATCTGAAGAAATACATCTGAAGACTGAACCCAAAGGGATCTAATTTTTTCCCAGCAAAATTTCATTTTAATCTTTTTTTAAAAAAAATGCTCATTATCACAAATGTCCAAATTTATCCTTTATTTTAATAAAACTAAGTTCTTTGGGCCTTGAGCATCCAGATGTAGAGGTAAGGTTATCAATTTGCTTGTGGTTAAATTTTATAGTATTTTACTATAAAACTAAGAATCTTATCAAATCTTAAAAACGATTGATCATCCCATAAACTTTCATTAAATAAATGGAGCACTAATAAGGAAGTAGTCTATACATGCATATACATTTAAAGTAAGACAAAGGAAAAAAATCAAACTAAACAGTTAATGACAATAAATGCAATAAAACATAAGAGACATTTAATTAGCCAATTAACATATGTAATATAATAACAATCCTAGGCAGTGTAATATCTGATAAATGATTTTAAATCTAATACATTTTATCTCAGTGATTTTAAAATGAAATTAGTCTTTATAATTCTTTAAAGATGGATGGTTTGAGATTTGTCACAATATTTTAAGATGATATTCCTAATATTCCCACTGATTTTTTAATATTGCCATTTTTAAGCCTACTTTCAATTTCATTTCCAATAAACAGAACTTCAGGTCAGATAATACAGAGGTACTATTTCTAATCCAACAAACTATTAATTGAAATAATAGATACCTCTGCTCTTCCTTTCCATTCTGAAAATCAGGATTAAATACAGATAAGAAAAATAGAAATCACAGTTTGCTGATGTGAGTATCAAATTATGAAAAGCAAATACAAACTTATCTTATGCAACTAGACACAGTTTACCTAAAACAATTGAAATCAATGACCTTTAGAAACATGTATTTTGGCATAAGTGTTATATTTCAGGTAAATGTCTGCATTCGTTATCCTTTCATTTTCTAAAACTTGTTCTGGAGGGAAGCAGCTGGCAGGTTTGATAGCTGGCACTTTTTTTTAGGGGGGGTGGGAATTGGCTGGAATTCCAGATTGTTTTGTTATGACTAGAATTGTGGGAGAGGGGTTATATTTTGTCTCTTTTTAACTGAGTGTTGTACATGTGTGTAGAATCTTATCTTTCTTTGTCATCTTTAATAAAATTGATTTTTAAAGCAAATTCTGGAGTTGACTGATGACTTCTAGCATCCACCTCAGCTTGGCTGAGCTATTAACTCCCACAGTTATTTGGTTTCTCTTCCTGCAGTTCAGTCAGATCCAAGGCAGGGATGAGGATTATCCATTTAGCCCTCTTCTGGTTGCCCCAGAGGCCTGGTGGAAATTGGTTCAGAATTTCAGAATAAAGAAGAGGTGGTGGCAACAAGATTTAATTTTCTGGTCTCCTGGCATGGATAACCTCAGAACCAAAATACCTCAAAGAGAGGGCTGGTTCAACCCCAAGGCATCTTTATTATTCCCCTCTCTTTCCAAAAAGATAGGGATAGAGATGGAGGGGGGAGAAAGAGAGAGGGGAGAGAGAGAATTTTAGTAAAAAAATTGCTAGTGAGGAAGCAGAATGATTCTTATTTACAATTATTTCTATGACATCAACTTAGAACATTTTCTAAATTCTGGTACTTAGACAATGCTAAAATAAGTACTGGTCCAATAAAATAAAGACTAAACAGTAAAGCTGATACCATACCTTGATTTAAAATAATGGGAAACATAAATTAAGAAACAGCCAAAAAAATATTCTGCTGCTACTGAAATATTCATTAGTCTTACATAGTATAGCTTAATTATAGTAACAGCTGCAAATAACTTACTTTTCTCCAAGGTACAGATCTGTGACTTCTTTATCATTCCTATAGCCACAAATTTTTAGTTGTTTTTCTAAAATCTGGAAATAGATTGTGTCAGAAAAATTTATTGTACATCAGAGTCCCTCCTCAAGACACATCAGCGGTTTGAAAATGTGAAAAATAAATAAATAGAATAAATATAAGCATTACAAAAAGATTCTACATTATACAAGGGGCAGTTACATGGCCATGCTCTTCAGAACAACCATTCTGTGAGACTCCATTGTCTTTTGCTCCAAGTTTCATAGTTAAAGCATGCAGGTAACAGAGGTGACAAGAGCTTGAGGTAATAGGACTTTCATAGTTTTTCCTTGAAGATGTTTTGCTCCTCATCAAGAAGCTGTTCTGATTTCGCTTCTTGGATAAGAAGTGAAATGTCTTCAAGGAAAAACAAAAGAGTCCAGTTGCCTCTTTAAAAAGGCACCTTTGGGATAACCATGATCAGGATGACTGAGACTCTCCATAGACATCTGGAGGGAATAAATTTGCTGTTCCTAAGACAAATTTAAGCTCTGCTGCTGATATTTCTTCTTTTTTATATACTTCTTTCTCCTGCAGAAGAACGGATTGGCATCTTGATAAAGAAATAGAACCTCTTGGGTTCATGTATCACCTTAATTCTGCTTTACCTGATTTGCTGCCTAGGTTAACAGTTGGCTGAATATAGATAGCACACTTTCACAAAGGAGTTTGAATGAACTCAAAGGCATATTTTTAAAATCATAACTGTTGAATAAACTGCAGTTGGCTGGGTGTACACATTGCAGGAAGTCATCCACAGTTCCCACAATAATCTAAACCCAAGCCAAACACATCATATTATGTGACAATCGCCAGTACGAGAATAGGATTGGGCACAGTCTAAAAGGGAGGCTAAAAGGGATATTTCCTTCCTCAAAACCTTTAGGGCATATATATGGACTCGGAAGGCTCTCTCTGATTCGAAAACGGTTTCTTTTTTAGGAAAGGGGGGGAAAGGACCTTCTAGGAGAAAAGGGCTTAAAGACAGACCCCCTGCTAAACTGCCCGAGAAGGAGCGGGATGGTGATGAGACTCACCCCGTTAACAATTTGGTGCTCATCCAAACTGATACTAGGTCCTTCTTTGCCCCCTCCTGGACCACATTGAAAGGCTTTTGAAGTCTGTCGGGCATCAACGGACCTTTTCGACATTTTTATCTGGGAGAGTGGACGCGTGGCTTCCTAGCCCGGTGAAAGAGGGATACACGAGACGTCCTGGGGGCAGCGCTCGGGTCCCTTCTCGCTGCTCTGGGCTCTATCCGTCGCTCCTGTCCACGGCTGGTAGGTCGTGCAAAGACCAAAGTGGCCAAACGCGCCGCGTGCCTGGAACGGTCGCTATGGCGACGGGCAAGCGAGCCGCGCTAAAAACGGTCGCTTTAAAGCGCGCTGAACTCGGCGCTTAGAAAACGCCCAAGAACCCATCTCTAATCGATGGCTCACAAAATCAGGGAGAGGTAGGCGGTTCCTCCTACTGAGCAGCAATGCCGGGATGCCTTTTGAGCATCTTTCCTTCTAGACATAACTTCGGTCTGGCTTATAAAACCACTGATTTTTACGAAGCCTGTAGAACAAAAAACAAACCAAAATGCATGTTCATGTAGAACAAAAAACAAACCAAAATGCATGTTCATGTAGAACAAAAAACAAACCAAAATGCAAAAACTGGAATGGGCTCACCATACATGTCCGCAGGTGTTTTACCAAGTGTTCAGAATTGTCATATTGCACGAAATTTCCTAACAGTATAAATAGTTTTAACAATTACTCAGAAGGCTACTGATCTCCTTATGGCCATCTATCTGGAGGCTTTAATATGAATTCTTGCACTGAGCAGGGGATTGAACTGAAAGCTTACAAAGCCCCTTGCTATGATTTCATAAATGCAGACGGGGGTAGAATCTGCCTTTCACAGTCACTAAAATTTATACATTTATTACTTTTTGCTTCAATATGTTATGCAAACACAGTTATGTTCTATGCATAAAGTAGGACATTAATGAAGTAAAGGCGTTAGATGCCAATTTTTTGGAACATTTCTGTATACTCTGCTATAATTACTCCTTTTCTTCTTACCAGGAAAAATCTTTGGGGAGGAAAGGAATGGCTTTTGGATTGTGGAGCTAGTATAGGTCTGTCTGTAAACTGGCAAAGAATTTTGTGATTTGAAAGTGAAAATTGTATTATTGATTATTAATACATTCCTGGTAAGATGGGTATGACTGAGATGGGTATGACTGAGATGTTTATAATATATGCATAAAATTATTGCAGCCCTATGGCACAACATTTATACATGTTCAAAAGAACATTCACTGCTTGTCTGATGAAGTGTTATACATAAAAACATTATTTTAATAACATTTGTTACTAGGCATTACCATGATACCGACTTTTGTTATTTTCTGTAGGGAGATTGATTTTCTCATAAGCATGCTTATGACTATAGCAATCCCAATGAGCTGTTACAGAATAGCCCCACTGAACACAAATGGATATACATCTTGGGCTCATTCTCATATCCTGCTTGCCATGGCACAAAGACACTTTGCTATGCTTGACATACATGTCCTCCATCTCATACCCAACCTAATTGTTCCATTTTGAAAGTCATGCTTTGCTTGTCTGGGAACAAAATACCCATGTAGGCAATTTAGGACACTGTAGGGACAATCTTGAGGATGATGTGATTGGGAACAACAATTTGCTTAGCTCCAAATGGCCTGGTAAGTTTGCCTTTGAAACACTTCTCTCACATTAAACTATTGGGCTTTGTGTTTCCATGATCCTTGTGACTTTAGCTGTGAGAGAGGCCAGATATGTGCTTTTTTCCCCTCTTTACATTGCAATAATGTCATTAATGTATAATTCATATATAATTTATTATCTTGAAGAGGGAGTAGTGCCATTTATATTGTTATACTACTTTTGCTATCGTTACTTAATTTTAATATCATATTACATTATTGTCAACTTGTTTGTTGATCTTTGGGCTGTCTGGCTATTTACAATCTAAAACAAATACTAATTCAATAATATGAGCATTACATTTGATATGTTACAGTCTGTAGTTTACGTAAGGCTGTGGCAATGCAACTCTAGAGGAAATATATTTTACGTCTTGGCATTTTCCCTATGTCATCAATAATGTTTGCAACTGCAGTATTAATTACTAAAGTGGTTCTAATGTAGATCTGATTTTCCTTCAAGGTTAAGGATGGAAAAGCCTAATATATTCTACAACTTTTAAAGTTGATCTTAGATGGGAGTTAGAATAAGGGGGAAATGCTGCAACACTGGAATAGCTAAGGAACTCATTAGTTGGAGACAAAATGAAATCTGTATCATGGAAATAAATGTTGCCAGGACATGTTTGTTGCAAGACATGAGAGAGGAAAACTCTATTAGGAAAGGAAAAAACAACAATAAATCATGGAATAGTACAAGAGCACATGAGAGGGTGAGAAAAAAACCCCATAGAAATTGTAAAGAGTACATAGGATGATTTTGGTGGGCAAAGGGAAGTTTGAGTACTAAAGCAAGCAAAAGAAAAACACTGCTAGAATCCAGAGAATGATGTGTCAAATAGACAGTCCCCTAATTCACATTAATGTTAAAGAGGCAAGAGGGAAGCATTAATCAGATTTTAAAGATTATGTTACTTAGCCAATCTAAAGAAATAGATGGAGGTTTTTTCCCTGACCTAAAGGAATGACAGAGAGGGTAAGAATTCCTACCAAAGAGAAAGTTACTTATCCTATCACCATTGGACTCAAGTATCTCAAATTATTAATCACAACTTTTGCTACCTGGATTTGGCTGATTGTTGTCAATACATTCATGTATCTCCAAGTTGATGGGATGTTGGCTAAAGCTTTATGGTTATATAATCTCTAGATTACAGATCCTAGCTTTCATAGAATATGATAAGCAGTTTAGTTTCCCTTGTGAGATACTGGCCAAAAAGTTCTACTGTCATGGTTCCAATAGATGAAATCCCTTAAAGAACTTTAAGGCAAGAATTCTTCCTTAGAGAACATTTTATTCAGGAAACAAAGTATCAGCACTACATGGTTGAACCCAAAACTAGATTCCCTTCCCCCAGATACAAAGTAACAAGTTGCAAGACCCACCCCCACTAAGCAGTCATAATTTACATTCTCCAATTAGCCTGGAGCACGGGCTCTCTCCCCAGCTCCCCAGTCTGCCAAAATGTTATTGGTTTGTGTCCTTGAGTTCCCACGGAACTACATTATTATTATGGCTAGCTGAGCTCAAGCATTCACCCCATCCCCCCTTCAACACCTGATCTCTAAACAGAAGAAAAAGCATGTTAAAAGCAAAGTAAAAATGGCTGCAATTTCCATCAGTTATCAGAGCAGGAACATCCATTGTTACAGTGGTGACATCTACACTGGTTGCATTATTGTTAGGAGGGAGTGCTAAATGAAGAACAAATGTGTCTAAAAAGTGTTCTATAGCTTTATCTTATGAAAATGCCTTATATCAACCTATAATTGGTGATGTAGGTCAATATCCATGGGATTGTCTAGTGATGATCATGGCCAAAGGAAGACTGACTGAGAGTTTAAGTGGAATAAATAGTAAAGAACAAATTAAAGAAATGCATTTTCATTGCCTTTTTCCACGAGGTGATAATTGTTTGCAGACCGCATACAAAAGTGTGAAGTATCATTAATGGTAAATATTAAATAAGATGTCTAATAGAATAATAGTGAAAGAGCCTGAAATGAAGAAAAAAATGTACATAAGAGAATGATTGCAACATGAAACGAGAATGACAGAAAGATATGTTATACTATTTACAAAGAGAAAGAGATTGTTGAAAAAAATAAAAGAGAACAGGCAACAATTCAGATTAAAAGATAGAGAAAAAAATGCAAAGCAGTACTGATTGAAATTAAAAAAAATATTCTGCAAGGAAGTGAAAAGAGCTAAATGGGCCTCCAATAGCAAAAATGGTTTTCAAAATGAAAGTAAAGAGATGATTGGGGTAAAAGTGAAGTGAGAAAATGTACGGACAATTCTGGAAATTTTGCTTGGAAATGATAGTGATATATAAAGAATGAAATTGCAATTATAAATTCAGTGTCCCAGAAGAAAAAACTGATAAAAAGTAATGAATGCTGTGAGAATATTGAAAAAAATAAGTGAAGAAATATAAAAATATAGGTGTGGTTTCCTTATGGAAAAGCTTTGCACTTGGTTGATGTGTATGTACAGTTGTAAATTGCATCCCTGTTAGAGAATTGGAAGAATGTCATTATTGTTCCTTGATATTTTTTTTGTAAAGTCAATACTGGGGATGATTTCGGTATTAGGTGTGCCTGATAATGTTTTTGGCAAACCTCTGATTAGAAAATTCAAGAGGTAACGTGAACAGAATTTGGAAAGTGCAGTCAGGTTTATTCCAGTCCGGATGTGCAAATGAGATTTTGTTTTTAGGAGATCATTGAGAAATGAATGGATGTAATAATGGGGAAGTTGTAAAAAACAGTGGATTATAAATGAATTTATGTATCAAAACAATATAGATGAAATGAAAATAAACAAAAATGATTAAAATGAATGGGTCACAATGTTTGAAAGCATTCATTTCCATTGAAGGACCTTAAAACTCCATAGCCTCTATCTTGAAAAAAACTTGGAAGAACAGATTGTTCTGAAGAAAATTTATTTATTGTAGGTTAGTAATCATCACCAATTTTATGATAGATAATCAGTCAAGGCATTTGAGGAAGTTCAATTTTCATCACGTTTACGTGGGTGGAAGGAATTAAATATTTCTTTTTAGTATACTCCAATCTGAGTGAAAATTATCTTCCTGTGCTTTTTATTAAATTATGTTCAAACATTGTTTAGATTCTGTTATACACACAAGGATTTGTATAATTTAATTTGAATACATATGGCAACAATATGGTTTGTTTGATTCTGACAGCATGTGTGAACTCGGACACAATGATATTTGGCCTCTAATAAATGGGTGGCATGTAGGTTTAGAAAGCGAGATGTTATTGATATTTTCACATTATTTACATCAGGCATGTCAAATTCGTAACGTCACGTGACGTCGCGCGACGTATCGGAGCTTTTTTGCCATTGCCGGCAATGGGGTGGGCATGGCTCTGGTATGATGAAACCGGCCCGCGGA